CAAAATTAATTAACATTATTACTCCTACTTTTGATCCCGTGTCACACCAATGCTCCCGCCGTTAGAGCACTAGAAGTACTCATAACTCCCCAAGGGGCGTTAAACCCCGCCCCCTCCCCAGTTATGCCGGCACGGCGTTATACTCCTCGCGTCAAACGTTTAACGCAGATTGAAGTCTCAAAAGAGCCGTTGCCCCCCCCCCCCAACGGTCTAATATTTGACCGTTGCCAAATATCAAAAAATTAAATTTCAACTATAAATACCCTCTAATATTTTAAAAATATAAGCGCACAAAACATTCTCTCATACAATTCTCTATTCATTGTCAATTTTTTAATTTAATGTTCTTTTTTATTGAATGTAATATTTTTCATTTAATGACTTATTGTCATTTAATTTAATTAATTAATGAAATTTTCTTACTTTATTCTTATAAAATGTGTATTTAAAATTAAAAAAAAGTTTGAAGCCTTCTCATTTCCAGTGAAACTGTGAGGTAAGTTAACAGGAAATCAAAACTGATATGGTTAAGAGATAAAAGCTGAAGCCCAGATTTAAAGCCAGGGCTTCATCAGTTCAAACGCTGTCAAAACTACATTGAAATGTAGTCAAATTGTTTCATTCCTACTTTTTTCCGTATTTAAATTATTCATATAGTGTAAATCATTTTCCTTTTTAGCATGGATTCTTTGATTTATAAAATAGCTTTTTTTACTATTGAAAACATTAAATTTTATTCGTATCTTATTTCTTACCTATTTAAATTGCTTACGGAGTACTTTGTACTCCCTCCGTCCCATAAAACATGGGATGTTTTGTTTTTTGAAGAGATTTAAGGGAGTATATTTTGGTATTAAATTTCCAAAAATGTCCTTTGATGTGATGGGTAAAAATAGGATTTGATAGATAGATTATTAGTAAAAAGGTATGATTTAATAGGTAGGGTATGAAAAAGTAAGGGGTAAAGTGACTTTTTAATAGAAATAAGAAGTGTTTTTTGGGACGGATGAAAAAAGAAAGGAGAAATGTTTTCAGGGACGGAAGAAGTATATTTTATATGAATCTTAATGCATGAAATGACTATTTGTCTTGGGCCTTATAAAAAAGAAATTCAATTGTGAGCCCATAGAAAGAATAATACTCCCTCCGTCCCAAATTATTTGCCACATTTGCTTTTTCAACAGTCGCGGGAGCTTTTTTTTATTTCTACGTTTTCATTGGTTATCTGATAAAATAAAATATTCTTGACACCTCTTATTTCGAAAAACTTTTCATGTAGTTTTTTGATATGTAATTTTTATTTTTTATTTCTTTACCAATATGTAAATAAAATGAATTGAAAAAACTTAATATTTTACCTCGGTAATAGAAATGTGACAAATAATTTGGGACGGAGGTAGTATAAATTTTGTCTTTTGGATGTATTTATCCAAACTAAACAATTTTTGAGAGTATTGATGTAAACTATTTCTATATGTTATTGCTAATGAGGATGTGTGTGTGTTTGTGTGTGTGTGTGTGTGTACACACACACACATACCGCAAAAAGCCCCTAACACTGTTAGTTATATTTAATCCCTTCATTTTCTAATTCACAATTATAGAGATGTTGTATAGCCTATACGCCACAATTGTAGAGTATTATTATTATCATTAGAAAAATTATTCTAAATAATCCCAACTTTACCTAATCTTTCAAAAATAGTCCCACATTTTATTGTAATACATAATAATCCCAACTCAACTAAAATTTTCAAGTTTTGGATTGGCGTTAAGTTTCTAACAACAGGTTAACAAAAACTGTATTTTTTGCGTAACAAACTGAAGCTGGGATTATTTTTGATGAATTTTTATCTTTTATTTTTTGAAATTTTCATTTAAATTTTAAAAATTACTTTCTACATTCATTTCTCTTTATTTTTTAAAAGATTAGTCTTACCTTAGAAAAAATAAAAAATAGATATACAAAATAGTGAAAATGAAAAAATAACTGAGACCATACAAAATTTAATACTCCGTAAATAAATAAGGTAATCAACAAAATTAATCTGAAACTTGTAAGAAATAAAATAAAAATATAAGGTGTGGAGGGTTCTAATGTTTTACCTACTATACATAGTATTAATATACTACTACTTATTTTTTAAAAGAATGGGTAAATTTGGGATTATTTTATATAATTTCTCCTAAAACTAAGAAGAAGTTGTACATTAATACCATGTATAGGGCGTAAAATATTAAAACTCACCACTACATATATTTTTATTTTATTTTTGATCATTTTCATTATTTTTATATCTATTTTTTATTTTTATCCAAAGTTAGACTAATCTTTATAAAAAGAAAAAAGAAAGGATGGAGGTAGAAAATTTTTTAAATATTTAAATGAAAATTCCAAAAAAAAACAACTGAACACATTAATTATTATTATAATTCAAAATTAACTCATAATATGCCACAATTGCAGAGTATAATTGTTATAATAAACACTAATAATTTTAAATTAACTCCCATATATGATATAATGGTATTCTCCGGACACACCAAACACCTGTTCTCATGCAATGAATGTTATTAGTGGACCCAATGATGGTTTGATTTTGTCTCTTACTACTTTCAGCTATGTATCAACCGTAGACTTTTTTAGTTTATTTCATAGTAAGGAGATATTAAAATGATATGAAACTGTGATAAAGTTATACTTGTACCTAATTCAAATTTGATTCTCGTCTTAATCCATTCAAACAAAACTGTCATCAGTAGCAATTTTAAAATTTATAAGATCATATAAAGAATTTCACAAAATTCATTATACACCTTTTGACTCATAACTTTATGTGATTTGAATGTTGTACTTATTTTTCTTCCTTCACTTTTAGCTTGAGGATTATACCGATTTATTGGCGATGACCTTTAACAATGTCGTATTATTAATTTTTTTGGCATTTCTAAACCTCATATTGCTTCTTTAAACACTAACATTATTCAACTAACTTATCCAATACTATGATATGTTTAGTTTTCTACATGTCCTATAGCCTATTTTTTCAAGATGAAGCTCCGCAATATTATTTTTGGGCCTAGACAAAACTACAATGCTAGCAAAATACTCTCGATAAACATATCCAAAGGTATTTCACAAGAATGATTTTGTTTATTTCATCAAACATATTAAGGATGCTTAAAACACATTGTCGAACTCAATTCTGTACATACAATACTCTCTAACATTTTCCCGATTCTGTTATTGCAGTTATATACAGAGTTGAGTTCGGCAATGTTGTTTATAAAGAAGTGTTTCATAATTTGTAAATGTTTTCGAAATGAATCTGTAATCATTTTTCTTACAATTTTTTAATGTAAAAGAATATTTAATCTCATAAATTTCATTGTATAATATTTGCATATATTGATATATACGAAAGTATAAAATCTTAAAATAATTTTATATTTTTATTATATAACAAACTTTTGTCCGTGCAACGCACGGGTATGATTCTAGTAACTATAACATAGACAAACTTTATTTGTAAAATATAAAAATGAGATTATTATATCTTCTACGGGGGTCCATTTCAAATGGGCTAGGCAAATGTATGAGTGGAAGGACATTTGAGGTAGATTTGGGCCAGGCTTGGACGAGTTTGAGCTGGCCAGGCCAATAATAACTAAGTTAAGCCTATCGCAGTCTAGTAATAGATCTCATATTTTGTCCAACCTGCCTACTTAATAAAAAGTTATGACTAAGTTTTGTCCAATTTAGCTCAAATCACAATAACGAATCATATTAACATAAATATAAAATTTTAAAAATAGGATAAATAAAAAGAAGGAAAATAATATATGAGCTCTTGTAAAAAAAATTATTGTCTAAGTTGGGTATTCCTCATATTTATGCACCAACGTAGGGCAGTACATTGCCCGGTAAAGAAGTTCCAAAGAGACATGTGCAGGTCGTAAAGTTATTTTTGCAAATGGAAATCTTTAGGGCGTGAGAAATCGATGAGGAGGTAATTTCATATAGACTTCCTTGCTGGAAAGTAAACAAACAACACACACAAATATCTTCGAGAAATGAGAGACGGAACACAAACGACACACAAAGATTTAGCGTAGTTCGATTTCCCTAATCCACGACTGCAACAAGAGGATTTTATTCACTTTTCGTGTCCCCTAATTACAAGTACAAAATGCGTGTATATAGGAAAAACCAAGTTGGAGGCCAAACGTATCTAGCCTCCACAAACCCAATATTCTCCCACTTGGAGGCTAGATAATCATGAACTACCATCTTCCACGATCACTTGTACATCTAGTAATCTTCCTCGGCTCTCCTGTTGCAGCGGCCATCTCATTAGACAACAGAAAGGTTCGTTAAATCTCTCCCAAGCTCCAACACATCAGTCACGGCTAAATCTGTTCCTGACTCATCTTCGTTCCCTACCGGCTCCCACTGCAAATGCACGCTACCGGATCTTGGAATATCCTGAGAACAAACACCCTCCATACTTAGAAAAAAATTTTCTAGAGATGTTCCAATAGCTGGAATACTAGCTCTCCTGACCCCTTTTCTTCTAGGAATCTTTGTTGAAGCATTGCATGACCTCCCACTGCCACAAATACATATGACTGGCCTCCTTGGACCTTTCCTCACTTGTTCATCATGAGTCTGACCTGTGCCTCTAGGTTTCTTTCTTGCATAGACAATCTTCTTTTGCCCACGAGCCTCTATGAACAGGACTTTGTTTATCTTCTGAACCAGGATGGTCACTCCCTTATATGGTAATCCAAACATGTACAGTGAAAACCTCTTCTTTCCATGGGCTATGACAAGATTTCCCTTCACGACCTTCCACTATCCGTCTCCGAACTTCACCTCGTGTTCTTATTCGTCCAATTGCCTGAAGGAAATAAAACTTGTCTTCGAGGTTGGAAAAACTCTGACATCCTTCAAAGTCCAGAAACCGACTGGGTTCTTCAACACTATGTCACCCATGCCCATAACATCAAGAGCTCTATTGTCCGCTAGTTGTACCTTTCTAAAGTCCCTAATAACTAGATTCTATAATGCTTCACCACTGTGGGTGGAATGAAATGATGCACCAGAATCCATGACCCAAGGATCCACATTGTTATCCACACAACAAGTCAAAAGGACCTCCTCATCACTCACGGAGCCTTCAGCAATGTTCACTTGCTTATCATCCACGCATTGATTCCTAAAATGCCCCACCTCCTTGCACTCCTAGCACATTACACCTAAGTTGTCACAAGTCTTTGAGTGACTCCTTTGTCTGTTTCTACTCCCACTGCCTCTGTTATTCCTTCTACCTCTACAGTCATGTAACAATTCACCAGATGATTCCCCAGAACTCTTTCTACTGACGTCCTTGCCAAGAACGAGATCATGAATTTGATCAAAAGTGAATCCATCACTGAATCGGTAACTGCTGTAACCCATCCGGACCAACTATCAGGAAAACACGATAGCAATAGCAAAGCTTGAAGCTTATTGATATGCTCAGTAACTGAAGTGCCTTCTTTCATCCTTGTGTTCACCAGCTCTCTAATCAGAAAAACCTTGTTTCGCTGCAGATGGCTTCTCGTACATGCATGTTAGAAAGTGCTTCCACAATTCCCTTCGTTGTCTTCTCCTTCAGAATGTTGAACGCAACATTCCTGGTCAATGAGAGACGAATCACGGACATAGCTTTCCGAACCAAACTTGCCCAATCTGCACCCGACATCTTTTTTGCTTGTCACCTAATCTTTTTGAACTACCAAATCTTCAATTTGCATCTTCCACCAACTGAAAGTTGTGTCATCAAATTTCTCAATTTGGAACTTCCCATTTTCTTCCATCTCAGACGACTAGATGAGATATCTGGTACACTCAATTTCAGATCTATATAATTTCTTCAGAAAAAAATAGGCTACAATACCAAATTTGCACCACCAAATTAACTAGCCCAAAGTTCACGGCTCGCTAAAATTTTAAAATTGACTACTTAAATTAAAGGATATTAAAAAAGGAGGCTGACAAAAGAAGCCCACTGTCGTCCTTTTCATTTCTTCTTCCGCCAGGCCTTTTTTGGAGACCTTCAACTGCGATGGTGGAGGCGGCTAAAGCTTCTTGCTGGCAGCACTAACCGGGAATGACGGCTGCTCTGCAACTGCGTTGGCGGCATTCTCACTCGTCCTGCTGCGCGCACCTCATCTCCACACAAGCAGCGGTCTTCTCCAGCAACAAAAAATGACAACTAGTAGCGGCTCTTGTCGGCCATAGATGGCAGAAAACGAATTTGCTTAATGGTGGCAACACTCGGTGCTCTCGCAATTTGTACTTGTGTTGAACAACTCTGCTCCGATACCACTTGTTGGGATTTAAACACACAAGAATTTTGTTAACCTTGGTTTGCTAAGCCTCGTGTTTTGATGTTAACAAACAACATAAGAGCTAAACGTTTGTTTAAGTGTTTTAGGTACGACAAGAATCAATTAAGATTCGGTTCTCGAGAATGAAATCGAAACACTAAACAAGCGTAGAATATAGGTGCAAACAAATGTAACAATATGATTTTATATACGTATATTCACAAGCTCAAAAGCACTTGAAAAATATGTTTAAAGCCTTCTTATAATCATTTTCAAACATCCAATAGGTTTTAAAATTTTTTTTAAAAGATTTGGCCAAAAATAAAAAATCATCACAATGTTTAAGGTATCTAGGTACTGTAAGGGGTACCGTCTAGGGTACCGTGAGTCAGCTTGAGAAGGTACCCCCTACCGTTAACTCAAGACCCCTCTACCGTTTGGTCGGAACCCCCGTACCAGAATAGGTACCATAAAAGGATAACTACCGCCAGAGATCTTTGGCCTGAGAAGGTACCTAGCTACCGGATGGTACCTCCATACCGTGACAAGTACCTTGACTATTGGAACACTGTTCCTGATTGCTGATTTTTTAATTATATATCCCCTAATCACCTTCCTTTGTCTAATTAAAACCTTCCACTATAAATATAGGCATAATACTTCATATTTCAACAAGAAACAAAGCCCCAAATATCTTATCTTTAGATTTTAAGTGTGTTCATTCTTTTATTCTTAATATTCAATGTTTTGTTTATTTTAAGAGCCTTATTCTCCTGATTTTTATACACACACTCTTGAGCTTATGTTTTAGTTATATACTCTCATATTCATAAGTTTATATTGTATCTTTGAGAGAGTATAGTTTTGTTATACACCGGCTAAGTCTTGTTCTTCATTTTTGTATTCAAGCCGTTGTGTAGAACCATTTCTTTTGATCTTCAAACACATCTTCTTCGGTAGAGAATAACCGTTAAATTCTCACATTATAATGGATGAGGATAGGCATATAAATCCTTGCGTAGAAGATTCAAGGATAGCCTTTGAAATCCTTGGGGGAACGGTTGAAGATAGTCGTTGAATCTTCATTGTAAGCGGCATGGTGCTTTGACGAAGTTCAAGAGACTGAGACTTAGTGGATTCGAAAATTCTTAAGGAGTCTTAAGGTGTTGGAGTAGGGGTTTCCCAAACTAGTCTAAAATTTTGTATGTTCTTATTTTACGCTTTTTAATTCTGTGTTTTATTTATTGCTCCTACATTTTCCAACACAATTTTACTAAACTACGAAAATTTTTAAATGCCTTATTCACCCCCTCTCTAAGGCGTGGATACAACGACTAAAACCGATTAACAAGTGGTATCGGAGCGGCTTCGTAGTTCAAAGTGCTTAACCACATCTATGATAAAGATGTACTTGTTGTGTCCTTTTTAAAATTGAATTTTAAAAAATTAAAGTTTTATTATCCCTTATTTTTAAAATTCAAATTTTGAGTAATAGCCTCAATGGGTTCCCAAAGCATTCACCGCCCTCCGTTTTTCAATGGACAAAATTATTCTTATTGGAAAATATCGATGGAATATTTTATTCAATCCATTGATTTTGATATATTTTTGAACATACTTCACGGGCCATTTGTGTCGAGTTGTGGTGATTTTGCAGGATTATCGGCCGAAGACATGCAGAAACTATTAATGAACGCAAAGGCCATAAACATACTTCATTGCTCCCTTAAACCCGATGAGTTTGCACATGTGTGCTCATGAAAAACCATCAAGGAAGTATGGGATCTACTTCAAGAAACTCATGAAGGGAATGTCTTAACAAAGCAAACAATGATTGCCCTTGGGAACTCGGAGTATGAAGCCTTCAAGAAAGGGCCTAGTGAGATGATTCATGATATGAACAAGAGGTTCAATAAAATCATAAACAAAAAGATTAAGTTGGGTAAGACATATACTACATGCGAGATAAATACAAAAATTTCATTTTCTTTACCAAAACCGCCCACATTTAGTCTTTCTTGTATTCTCACCAGCTTTTGTTGAAAAAGATCAAAGAAGAATAAATTCATGAAAATCCCCAACTTACAAACCCCTTCAAAGCCTCAAAAAACTCACCAAGCGAAGAGTCAAGTGATAATTCAAGTGACTCAAGCTCCTTGGAAGAGTCAAATGATGAAGAAGATGAAGACAAGGCAATGAGAACCAAGTATACGAATTTCCTCAAATGGAAGAAACTTGTGAAGAGGAAAGAAGTATATTCTTATCCGAAGAAAGAGCGACATAAGCCCAGATAAGTTTTTCTTTCTTATTGGGATAATAATTGTTTTGTTAATTATTTTCAAAAATAAAACCTTATCCCGTATGTGTTTCAATTTTTTTAGCCTTGTTTTGCATGATTAAATAATTTTTCAAAATTCATTTTTAAAATCATGCCTTTTAAAAATTATCCCTAATAATTTTTCAAAATTCATTTTCATTTTCAACTTGCTGATTTTAGGGGAAGTTTTTTGTTTTAGGAGGACTTTTGTTGTAAATGCACCTTTTACCCAATGATCTCCAAACTATCATTTTCCTAAAACTTCATTTTGATAGGGGGAGGATTTTAAAGAAGTTATATATGTTTAAATTCTTCAAAAATCCCTTTTTGATTTTGACAAAAGGGGGAGAATATGTATACTTCAATGTGGTCCATATGCAACATGACTCTAGTGTATTCTTGTGTAACTATTTGCATCAAACTTAAACTTTTAATAAACCCCAAAAAAGTTCAATTTGAGTATTTTCAATATGCTTATTCTTAAGGGTAGCTTTCTTCTTTCATTATTTTTACTTCTGCCTAACTCAATTTGAAGTATATTGTTTGTCAATATCAAAAAGAGGGAGATTGTTAGCCTTGGTTTGCTAAGCCTCATGTTTTGATGTTAACAAATAATATTAGCTAAATTTTATTTAAGTTTTTCAGGTATGACAAGAATCTATTAAGATTCGATTATCGAGAATGAAGTCAAAACACTAAACTAGCATAGAATGTAGGTAGAAACAAATATAAGGATATGATTTTATGTACCTATATTCACATGCTCAAAAGCACTCAAAAAATATGTTTAAAACCTTCTTATAATCATGTTCAGACATCCAAAAGGTTTTAAACAAAATTGTAAAAGATTTGGCCAAAAATAAAAAATCATAACAGTGGTTAAGTTACCCAGGTACCATAAGGGTTACCATCTGGGGTACCGTGACTCAGCTTGAGAAGGTACCCCCTACCATTAGCCCGGAACCCCTCTACCTTCTGGTCGGGACCCCCCTGCCGGAACATGTAGCATAAGAGGAAAGCTACAACCAGATTGTTTTGGCCTTCGAAGGTACCTAGCTACCAGCCGGTACCTCCCAAGTCCCAACCGTGGCAGGTACCGAGACCGTTGGAACACTATTCCTAATTGCTAATTTTTGAATTAAATATCCTCTAATCACCTCCCAACAGCTAATTAACACTTTCCACTATAAATAGAGGTGTAATATATACTTCATATTTCAACAAGAAACTAAGCTCCAAACATCTTATCTTTATATTTTAAGCGTGTTCATTCTTTTATTATTTATTTTCAATATTTTGGCTATTTCAAAAGTCTAATTCTCTTGATTTTTATACACACACTTTTGAGCTTGTGTTTAAGTTATATACTCTCATATTCATAAGTTTATATTGTATCTTTCAGAGAGTATAGTTTCGATCTACACCGGCTAAATCTTGTTCTTCATTTTTGAATTCAAGCTGTTGCGCAGAACCATTTCTTGTAATCTTCAAACACATCTTCTTCGGTAGAGAATAGCCATTAAATTCTCACATTGTAACGGATGAGGATAGCCGTATAAATCCTTGTGTAGAAGGTTCAAGGATAGCCTTTTAAGGCCCCGTTCCGTTCAATTTATTGTTTCTTATTTTTTCTTATTTCTATTAAAATTAGATCAAATCAGATCCAATCAGATCAGATCAGATCCAATCAGATCAGACCACATCAAGTCAGATCCCATCAAGAATTATTATTATTATTATTATTATTATTATTATTATTATTATTATTATTATTATTATTATTATTATTATTATTATTATTATTATTATTATTATTATTATTATTATTATTATTATTATTATTATTATTATTATTATTATTATTATTATTATTATTATTATTATTATTATTATCTGTTAGCCTTGGTATGCTTAATCTCATGTTTTCATGTTAAAAAGTAATTTTAATTGAGCTAACGTTTGTTCAATTGTGTAGGAACGACAAAATCCACTAAAACGCGTTGATTGCGTCAATACGTTCGTTCACATATGACCAGTGTAGAATAGCTTAGAGTCACTTAATTGTTAAAGATACTTGAATGATATATCTCTAAGCTCAAGCAAATTTTTACACACACACAAAAAGATTTTTACTTAGGTATTTATTTTTTTATAAAATACATTTGGTAAATAATTTTGAAAATAATATTTTCGAAATAACTAACTAAAGTTATAGCTTTTCTCAATACGAGATCGCCAGTTCTTGAATTACTCAATTCCGATTAGTATTGAAAAAGTTATTAACATTTTACCAAATTTATTTTTAATATCGCGCACAGGGTACCGAACGGTCGATGTGATGAACCGTTCCTCCAGAACAGTCGACCGTCCTACTGACCGTTGGCGGAATCTAAACGTTACCCCGAATGGTCGGACCATATCGCTCGGAGACCAAATTCCTCATTTCTTGTCTTTTTCACCCCCAACGGTTGGATTATCTTAATTATGGTATTAGGAGTTAATTATTCTTCTCTAACAGCTATTTTTCAATTTCAAACAACTCCTAATCCATCCCTATAAATACCCAAACCATTTCAATGTTTTAATTAATCAAGCTTTGCTCAAATGTCTTAATTCTTTCTTCGTGTGTTCATAAAAATCTCTGATTTTTATTAGGCTATTAAGAGCCATTTTTTCAATATATTTTCTTGAACACACATTGAGCTTGATCCAAAGAGATATACACTCATATTATCTATAAGCGAGTTGTAATTGTTAGAGTGTATAAAAATCATCACACCGACCCAACTTTGTATTTTATATTCTTGAGGTGGTGTTGATTCATATCATTCAACTTTTATATTTCTTGTAATCGGTCGAAGATATCCATTGCAAAATCTTCATTGAACGGTTGGAGATAGCCGTGGTGAAATCTCCGGAAGCGGTCAAGGACATCCGTGAAATCCTTGTTAAGACGGTTGGAGATAGTCGTTGCAAAATCTCTAGGTTGAAGACATCCTGCAAATCTTCGGAGCACGGTTGGGGATAGTCGTTGGAAAATTCTCAAAACTAGTTGGATACTTCAAGGCGTGAAGTATTGTCAATCTAGTGTAAACCTATTGGCAAAGGTTTGTTTGCCAAAAACTGGTTCTGTCGTGACAATCGTGTTGAGACGGTCAAGGCGTTCTAGTGGATTGAAAATCCTTAAGGAGGAGCATTAAGGTACTGGAGTAGGGAGTTCCCGAACTAGTATAAAATCGGTGTACATTTTCTTTACGCTTTTATTTTTAAATTTTATATATTGCTTTCGCATTTGCCAACACCGTTTTTGTTAAGGCACAACAAATAAACCGAGTAACATTATCATCTTTATTATTGTTATTATTATTATTATTATTATTATTATTATTATTATTATTATTATTACTATTACTATCATTATTATTCTTAAAAATGAAAAAGAATAAACTTTAGAAACAAGTTAAATAGAAAACTGAGAAAGTAATTCTCAAATATTAGATGTCGGAAAAATTATTCTTAAAATACATTGACAATGTCAATCAAATTCTACTTTTAAAATACATTTTTATCTCTACTTGTAATTTGAGTTTCTAAAGTTTTGATCTTTTATAATGATGAGATATTTTAATAAAAATACTATCTCTTCTATATATTGATTAGCTAAATTTAATTATTTTTTAATGTATATATAAATTAAATATTTATTCTAATGTATATATGAAGTAATTAATAAAATATTTAATTAATATTCCAATTTCACAAAAAAGTAATCATAAAATAAAAAAATATTATTACATTATAATATGAATGATTATTCTAATATATGAATTAACAAATATTATTTTATTAAAAAATAATCATAAAATAAAAAATATTGATTATATTATAATATGAATTATAATTACATTTTTCAAACGTTATTATAAAGTCAAATCAAATTATTGATTTGAATTTTAAATCAAATCATAATTAATCAGATCAAATCAGACCAGATCAGATCAGATCCAATTAGATCAGACCAGATCAGATCAGATCAGATCCAATTAGATCAGATCCTATGAAATTAGATCAGATCAGAACTTATCAAAATTAGATCACATCAGAAAAAATATGTAGAACGGAACGGAGCTTAAATCCCTAGGGGGAACGGTTGAAGGTAGCCGTTAAACCTTCATTGTAAGAAGTATGATATAGCCATTGTAAAATCTCGCAGTGAATCCTATTGGTGTTTTTTGCCAAAACTAGTACGGTGCTTTGACGGAGTTCAAGAGACCAAGACTTAGTGAATTCAGAAATCCCCAAGAAGGAGCTTTAAGGTAGTGAAGTAGGGGTTTAATTTCCCGAACTAGTCTAAAATTTAGTGTGTTCTTATTTTACGCTTTTTTATTTTCCATTTTATCTATTGCTGCCGCATTGCAAACACCAATTTTACTAAACTTCAAAAGGTTTTTAAAAGCCTTATTCACCCCCTCTAAGGCGCAAGCACAACGACCAAAATCGACTTGCAATTGGTATCAGATCGGTTTTGTAGTTTAAAGTGCTTAACCGCATCTACGATAAAAATCAAGTTGTTGTTTCCTTTTTATGTTGGGAACTACACTTGGATAGAGCAGCGGAAATATAAAAATTTTGATGTCCAAACGTAGATCCACCGAAGATACCTTATGAAAACTATGAATTATTTTTAAAAGTATACCTTTCTTGACGAACAAGTAACGACGTGTGGCTGATGAGATTGATCCAAGAGCTTTAGCCAAAAAAGTATATGAACTCTAGTGCGTACACACGAACTTTGAATGGTGTTCTAGAGAAATACTTTGCTAGTAATTTTTGTCTAGAATATTTCTAAAAATAACAACCCAAAAGAGAAGGGATTATCTTCTTATTTATAAGGAGTATCATCACCCTTAGTTTCCTAACCCTATTAGGTATCTACCTTTTAACACTTCGAAAAGAAATCAAATTCTTCTCCTAATTGACTTGTGATATTTTCGGCCCTACCATATTGGAAACTTCGAATTTATTTTTTCAACTTTAATTATCAAATAATTAACCCTATATATATATATATATATATATATATATATATATATATATATATATATATATATATAAAATAAGAATAATTATATTAAAAGTAATAAAAAATAGGTACAACACGTTTGGGGAGGGCTAGACCTGGCCCCAAAGGTAAAAATTAAACAAAGGGTGTGTACAAGGAGGGGAGAGTAAGATGAAATCAGCCAAGTCCTGTGAGAAGCCTCGTTCCATTCAGCCAAAAAAATTCTCTATAACTAAGGATGCAGTCTTTTGCCTTAGATAGCCAACCTTTGTTCCTATTGATTCAACACTATTCTTGTATGATGTTTTTGACTGATTTTATGAGGCCATGTAGGTTGGTTGGGTTGCCGTCGTAGAGTGCTGCATTGTGGTTTTTCCAAAGACTCCATGCAATCAAGCCAGGTATGACCGCACGTAAATGTCCAGGGAAGGCCTTCCCCTTTGCACACGACCACCGGGAAATTAGATGTTGGGTAATGTTTCTCCCTTGTCTAGGCAGTGGTCCATCTAGAAGGAAGGCATAATGCTTCTAAAGCCGGTTTGCAAGGTGACAATGGAGTAGAGTGTGATTACGCCCATCTTCAGCATCCATGCAAATATGACAGATTCCTCTTATGGGGAGGGAGATAGCTCAATAGTGTTCAGTGAATGGTAGTGCGTGGTGAAAGAGTTTCCAGAGGAAGAGCTTGATTTTGGGGAACTGGTATTTATTCCAAATGAACTTTGAGGGAAGGTTAGGAGGTTGGGGTTGAAGGCCACTTAAGTAGGCTGCCTTGAGAGTGAAGTCTCCATTGTTCCATCTCAAAGTTCCATTTGTTGATGAAGTGAGGTCACTAGCAGCTGCATGAATCCTGTAGACTCTTTTCCAAACTGAGAGTTTGTCAATCTTTCTTTATATAAATTGGCTCTTAGGTATTTTTGACGCATAAACGCTGCCTAGAAACCTTGTTCTGTGTTGATCTTCCACCATAGCTTGTATGAGAAAGCTTCTTGGATATGATGCAGATTGCGTATTCCCAATCCCCTGGTCTGTTGGAAGAGAAATGGCATCCCACTTCACCCAAAGATGTTTGTCCTTTCCATTCCTCACCCCCTAAAGGTAGCGTGACATTCGTTGATGAAGTTTGGAAATGATGGATTCTGGGAGAGTGTGGACAGCGAGAGTGTGGAGTGGAATGGAAAAAAGAACATGTTTAATGAGTATGAGTCTTGTTAGACGCCTCGCACACCTCTAGAGGGGGGGTGAATAGAGGTGTTGCCCAAAAGACCAGTTTTTTTTTGCGCAGAAACGTTCTTCACGAATATTCAATAAAATCAATGCACCACAAACAAAGTAAAGTGAAGGATAAGAGCAATGCACACACGATATATACTGGTTCGGCCTAAATGCCTACATCCAGTCCCCGAAGCAATCGTGCCCAGGCCTTCACTAACCCGTCAAACTTAACGGAGTTTGACAATCCGAATACAACTCGAGAACTTGATTTCACAAGCCTCTTATCTTAACACCAAAGTTTTGATTTCACAAAACTCAGGATTTCTTCCACCTAAC